GTTAGTCACTAAGTTATGTCTGACTCTTGGCAAGTCCTAGACTGTAGCCTGCCATGCTCCTCTGTCGAGTGGATTTTCCAGGTAAGACTACTGGAGCGGGCTGCTGTTTCCTCCTGAGGGGATCTTCCAGAGACGGGGATCGAACCTGCATCTCCTGCATTGGCAGGTGGATTCTCTATTACTGAGCAAGCAGGGAAGCACCATAACTCCTTTACCTACAGTCAAATGATGTAATCAATTATAATTTTTATTTTCTTTATACATGTCTATATTCTCTGAACTCAATATGCAGAGCACATATTAATTCTAAATTCAGAAAAAAAAAAGTTTAAAAAAAACTGCCTTCCAACGTCCATCTTCCACTGTGGCAAAAGTCAGCTAACACCCAAATGCTCCAATTTTAATGTGTTTCCTCTTGTACAGTCCTCAGAGGCAGTAGGGAAAAGTTTCAGTTTTCAAACAACAAGTGATCTGACATGTCATCTTTTCTGAAAGTGCTAAAATGGGTTAGCCTAAAATTCAGCTTTCCTATGAATTGCTTAGTTTTTTTGTGAAAATGTTGGTTTCTATTTTTGACTTAGTTTAACAGAATGAAGAACTTGGGATTTTTCAGAAGCATAGGCTACTCTTTGACAACAGCAAAATAAATAAATGACAGAAAGAAATTAATTCCTCAAAATATGTGCACATTGAAATGACAAAATGTTTCCTTTTTGCATACTTTACTAAATGTTGTAATTACAGATGTATTTTTAAGAATATAATCAATTTATCTAATCTGTCCATCCTTCCAACCAACCATCCATCTATTTATCCATTATCCCCAGAAGTAATCCCTAGCCCAAATTTGTGTTTATCTTTGTTATGTACATTTTTATACTATAACTATAATTGGAGATATTTTTATATAAATAATATATAGTATCACTTGGCTACCTTACATATGTATGCAGGGATGGTGATCATTCATCTAGTCTTATTTCTTTTAACTATTACTTTCCCTTTCTCTGTACCTCTCTCCACTATTAATTTCTTCTTTCTCAAGTTCTCTATGATTATACATACAAAAATGCATACACAAAGTCTGTAATAAGCCTATGGATATGTTTCTTTAGATATTGCTTCTTTAATTGAGATGTGATAAGATTCTAAGCAGCTTATTTATTTTTTTAATATTAAAAGATACCCAAGAAAAATAAGTAAGAATCCTTTCCCCTATCTCAAAACTGCTGTCTTCCAGTTTATTACGTATAAAGTTTTATACCATTATTATTTTAATTTCATTTCCCTTTTCACAGCTACTTATGTGGAGCATCTTTTCACATACTGATGTTTAGTGATTGACCCTTATATTATTAGTCTACTTTTTAAACTGAATTTGTTGTCTTACCTACTTTGAGAGAACTCTTTCTATTTGATAAATATTAGCAGGGTTCAGGAAAAGTTATCTCAGACTATGGCACCTTGGCATACTCACCATCTTTACACGGAAAGAATCTGTAAAACGGCACACGCAGGTCGTAAGAGCCTCATGTGACAGATGCCCTGTGCTGTGCTGTGCTTAGTCGCGCAGTCATGTCCAACTCTTTCTGACTCCATAAACTACAGCCCGCCAGGCTCCTCTGTCCATGGGGGTTCTCCAGGCAAGAATACTGGAGTAGGTTGCCATGCACTCCTCCAGTGGATCTTCCCAACCCAGGGATCGAACCTAGGTCTCCTGCACTGCAGGCAGATTCTTTACCAGCTGAGCTACCAGGGAAGCCCAAGAGATGCCCTGCCTACAACTAAAAGTGTTCGAGATTTTAATAAGAACAGCTAATTGATTCTTGTGATGCTTATCAACTTGTCATTGACTGTATGAAATGAAGCCATCCTTGTACTCTTGAATTTAACTGTATTAGGCCATAGCCATTATTCTTTCTGTCCAACTCTTTTTGAAAGCCCATGGACTATTATTCTTTTATCTAAATTATGGGTAACTTAGATATACTAGCAATGCATTTTGAATTCTGCATTTATATACTTCAATGATGTTGGACTTTTTCTCTTTTTCTTTTTATACTATCTCTAGCAGAATTAGGCATTAAAACACTGCTGAATTCAATACAAAATGAACTTTAAGAGTTCTGCATATTTACCATGGTCAGGACTAGCATAAATGACAATGCTCTTTCCTATTCTTTAAGAGCTAGATAACAACTGCAAACCTGGTTACTATGCATTTTTCTATTTACTTTAGTTACCTTTCTAATGTATTTTATGGCAATAACCGATTAAAGGTTTATAGCTATTGAATCAATTTTAGTAATTTATGTTTTGTTAGCAATTATTTTTTTATTCAGGTAATTATTCATTATTCATTTAATCTAGGGTTCACATGTTGCCACAGCATTGCAGTAAAATCACCTTACAATTTACTTTGTGCCTATGGTTGGTTTTCTCTCTCAGTCTTAATCATATAAATATTTCTGCTCTCTTTTACCCTTAATCAGGCTGAAAGGGATTTTGCTATTTTCAAAGAATGATCACTTGAGATTTCTTTCTGCATTTTTTTTCTTTTCAGTATCTTTGATTCTAGATTTTCTCTGGTTGTATACTGTCACCCTGTTTATTTAACTTACATGCAGAGTACATCATGGCAAAATGCCAGGCTGGATGAAGTATAAACTGGAATCAAGATTGCTGGGAGAAATACCAATAACCTCAGATACACAGATGACATCACCCTTAAGGCATAAAGTGAAGCGGAACTAAAGAGCCTCTTGGTGAAAGTGAAAGAGAGTGAAAAAGCTGGTTTAAAACTCAAACATTCAAAAAACTAAAATCATGGCATCTGGTCCCATCACTTCATGGCAAATAGATGGGGAAACAGTAGAAACAGTGACAGACTTAATTTTCTTGGGATCCAAAATCACTGCAGATGGTGACTGCAGCCATGAAATTAAAAGGGGTTTGCTCCTGGAAGAAAAGTTATGACCAACCTAGAGAGCTTATTAAAAAGCAGAGACATTACTTTGCCAACAAAGGTCTGTCTAGTCAAAGCTATGGTTTTTCCAGTAGTCATGTAAGGATGTGAGAGCTGAACAATAAAGTTGAGCACCGAAGAATTGATGCTTTTGAACTGTGATGTTGAAGACTCTTGAGAGTCCCTTGGACTGCAAGGAAATCAAACCAGTCCTGAGTGTTCATTGGAAGGACTGATGTTGAAGCTGAAATTCCAGTAATTTGGCCACCTGATGCGAACAGCTGACTCACTGGAAAAGACCCTGATGCTGGGAAAGATTGAGGGCAGGAGGAGAAGGGGACGACAGAGGATGAGATGGTTGGATGGCATCACTGACTCAATGGACATGGGTTTGGGTGGACTCTGGGAGTTGGTGATGGACAGGGAGGCCTCACGTGCTGCGGTTCATGGCGTCGCAAAGAGTCGGACATGACTGAGTGACTGAACTGAACTATAATTTAATAAAATGAGATTACTGGGTGATGGGTAAAATATACATCCCATATCTGCCACTATTAAGTATACGTGACTTTTAGCAAACTAATATGCGTAGCTAACAGTTTCCACATTTGTAAATTGCAAAGAGAATACAGTCTTGAGATCCATTTAAGAAACTAGAGTGTTTGGAAGAATAAGAGACCTTGGGAATCACCACCTTTAGAAACAATAATATCTAAGAAAAACGAGGTTGTCTATGCTAGTGATATATAATGGAGACTTATATTCATTCTACAAATGTTCATATCATAATCAAGTAAACTCCTAAAAAGTTTCACAAATATGAATGCCCCAGTACAACACTTCAAGAAAGTGCATTTTAAGTTATTTTGCTTAAAATGAAAGAATGATTAAAAAAAAAATACTGTGCCATAAAAACACACCCTCATATTTTTGTTAGAAATAAAGAACCTGGGGTCAAATGGGTTTCCAGGGAGTTTCCAAACACTGTGATCTTGCAAACAAAAATCTAGGTATATTTATTTACACTTTTATTGGGAGATGTAATCACATAGATCTGCAAAGAGTCTGGGACTTGAGAGAAGTTGAAAAGACTATTCTAGATTTATAATCCAACTTTCTACCTTTAGCCTGTGATTAAACCGTCCCATGGTCTTACTTTGGCTACTTCACCAAAGAGACCTTTCCATTGTTAGACAGCTACAACTGGTAAAAACTCTATGTCCAGTCACAATTTATCTAAAAAATTCTCGTCAATTTTTTTGATTTCAGTCTGTGGAGCTTAGCAGAATAGAACAACTCCCCATTACAGAAAAGAGCCCTTTACATATTTGAAGATGGCCATCTGAATTCCAAGATATTTGTCTTTTACAGCCTGATGTCTTTTAAACAACATAACAACATAACTCATTAATTCAAATATTTTTCTCTAGAGGAAAATGCTTTAACGACTTATAAAGACAATAACCTTAAAGTTTTTTAAAGTTCTACCATAAATGCTCACTACTTTTTTTTTTCATTTATTTTTATTAGTTGGAGGCTAATTACTTTACAATATTGTAGTGGTTTTTGTCATACACTGACATGATTGACAGAGGGATAGAAAGCTCTAAATTTATTGCCGAAAGATTTCAAAGAAAATTGCATTACGTTGATGTATGTGACCTCATGAATTCTACAGAATTTTTACATACTTATTACGCCACTGAATTCTTAGAAACTGTAAATAAAATATTTTTTAAATGTTTTAAAAGTATGGGTTATCTGGCAAAATACTATTGAAGGATGGATTTCAACACATCTTCAAATACCTGCCAAAAATAATTTTTTGTGTTTATACTTATTTACAAAGGATAAATGCAGCAATATTTTTAAGTGGTTCTAAAAGTATCATTTACATCAATGCTTTTTGGATAAAAACGGAGGAAATATTTCATTAAGTATAACATCATACAAGGGAGAACAAATTCCAAATGGTAAACCAAGATCCGTAAAACTGAGCAACAAAATTAAACGTCTATACAAGACTATTACTCACGGGTACAATTCTGAAAGCTGTTCGGCTATTGCATGTGCTGTAGGGTCTCTGTCTAATGCATACAGAGTAATATCTGGCTCCTTCTGTAGAATGGCTCTTGTGTGTCCTCCTGAGCCAAATGTCATATCTAGAAAAACCTAGCCAACACAGGAAGAGAAAATTACCACTTAGTATGAACAAAATTTATTCTTGCCAACTTACCTTATTTCTAGACTCACATGATGCTTTTCAGAGCTGATAGCAAACAGAAAAACAATTATACTATTATTAATATATTTATTTTTGCCTAGAGTTCAATTTATTTTACATGAAGTTTTGATCAATTATGAGTGATCAATTCTTAAGAATTTGTCAGAGTATCAACAAAATAATAATTTTTGTCATAGGCTTTGAATTCAGGTCTCCTGCATTGCAGGCAGATTCCTTAGTGTTTGGGCCACCAGGGAAACCCCAAACCTCCAGGTAGCGCCCAAGACAATTCTGAAGCAAAAGATTTACCAGGACAACAGGACACAATATACAGGGGTACATAAGTTTAAATGCTTGGATCATTCAAGATACACAATGAAGTTAACTGGATCTGAATCTATTTCTTAGCTATTTTATTTAGCCATAATAAGAAAAAGCCAGCTGAGAGTTGGGCAAGAAACTAGAAATTAGACCAAGACCACGATGGAAAAGAATATTTTAAAAAATTATAAATATTTCTATATAGATAGATAGATAGATGATATGTGTGTGTGTGTGTGTGTGTGTGTGTAAAACTGAGTCACTTTGGTGTATAACACAGATTAGCATAACACTGTAAATCAACTATACTTCAATTAAAAAACAAAAAGGCCAGATGGGAAGAAATCAAGCCTGGAGAATAAGAAATAAATATGTGAACAAGGTAGTAGAATTGTAGTTAATTTGGAAGCCAAGATACTCTCAACATATCCTCTGAAAGTTATGCTCTTCAGTTTAATGCACTCTCTCAATTTCAGTGGTATGATGAAAATAAAAACAATTATTCTAATAATACTGAATATTATGACAACATACACTAAAGTCAAACTGTTAAAAATGCTTATATATAAAACTTTTTTAGAAGCTCATGTGTACATTGCACAAAAGAAATTCCTGTAATGGATTTGAACATTTCTCTGTTCTGAATGTTATAACTTTTTCAAAGGAGAGTGGTCAGAGACAAGGCACAATTATGGTTTGATTTTTTTTTTTTTGGTTATAGGCTACCTTGCTGAGTCCTATGTTCTAATCACGTCCTCAGAAAACTTAGCCTACTATTCAAAGAATAATATGGAGGAAGTCTTCTAATGGAAATTGAGAAGAGGGGGTATATAAAGTATTATATAAGATGTAAATGTGATGAAAAGGTACAGGCACTGCTTTTTAACATAAAATTTTTAGGATAACTTAACCTTGCACTTCTATAACTGTCAGCATGAAAGGTATAGCTACATATATTTTCACCTTTTTAAATAGTAACTTTAAAACAATACTTGAAGCCTTATTATTTTTATGGATGTTAACAGTACATACTTAAATCTCAAGATTGAATAATTTCCTCTCCCAGACGGTATACTTATTTTATACCACTATGAAAAAGTAAAAATCTTCCACCGTAGTTCATCTCAGTGTTAAAACTGCTAGCAGTTTAGGATGATTTAAACAGAGAAATTTTCTAGGCTTGGAAAAGCTATATATGTGAACAAGGTAGTTGAACTGTAGTCATACTCTCTTGTTAAACCCTAATATCAAATCTTATATAACTCTAGATTTAAACTAAGAGTATATAAAATTAAATAATTTGATATGATTGCCTTCTCTCAAGCCAGGAAAGTCCCAATCAATATTTAAAAAGAAAAATTCTCATTATTAAAAAATATTCTGGAAAATGTGAAAGAGATGATCATAATTTACATGATTATTTTTTAATCTATCATGATTATGCCCTTGGTGATATACTGACAATCAAGGAAGTTTTCATAGAAAAAACATAATCTACTATTACCAGTCAAGTGTAACACAAAGGATGAAATGGGAGACAAATGGGATTTATGAAATGAAAACTGAACCCTACCATATGTCTTGGGTTAATAGGTGAGTGGAGCCATCAAATTTCATTTTAAAAATTCTAATACACAATGCCCATCAAAAATAAGTGACATCTAGGCCTTGTGAGTTACCCAGCACTACAACTGAAAAAGGAGCCAATTAGTTTTTCCTTTCTCTTGGGTCATTAACATGACATATGATTACATTTTCTAATTTGTACAATTTGATAATAAAATAAGGAAACTGGACAATTTTTCTTTGCTTAATAAATGCACAAGAACAACAAATCTGAATGTTTCAAAATAATCTTTTTATGAATCTCAACTATACATATTTGCAAATGTTTATTTTATGCTACAAACATGGAACTCTTTTTTTGAAATTTCCTGATATAATTTATCTAAAAAGCCAAACCCATATTTGATATCAAGAGTTTTTTTCTGGTAATTTCATTTTATGCCTGCATGCTGCTGCTGCTGCTAAGTCGCTTCAGTCGTGTCTGACTCTGTGGGACCCCATAGAAGGCAGCCCACCAGACTCACCCATCTGTGGGATTCTCCAGGCAAGAACACTGGAAGTGGGCTGCCATTTCCTTCTCCAATGCATGAAAGTAAAAAGTGAAAGTGAAGTCGCCTAGTCATGTCCAATTCTTAGCGACCCCATGGACTGCAGCCTACCAGGCTCCTCTGTCCACGGGATTTTCCAGGCAAGAGTACTGGAGCGGGGTGCCATTGCCTTCTCCGAATACCTGCATAACCCTGGCCAAATCATTTTAGCTGCCTAAGTTTCAAATTCTTCATCTAAGAAGTGGAAATAAAACATACTCTTGTTTATCTTAAAATTTATAAAGATTATCTTATTTCTTCCTCACAACCTTGAAGGTGTTAGTGTTTTCTACACACAGAAACTAAAATTACACTAAGCTGCTGCTGCTGCTAAGTCGCTTCAGTCGTATCTGACTCTGTGCAACCCCATAGATGGCAGCCCACCAGGCTCCGCTCTCCCTGGGATTCTCCAGGCAAGAACACTGGTGTGGGTTCCCATTTACATCTCCAATGCAGGAAAGTGAAAAGTGAAAGTGAAGTCGCTCAGACTAAACTAGGAAGTGGCAAACGCAACAGCTGAATACAGGTGTATCTGGCTCTAAACCACTCTGAGTATGCATTAAATCAATAAAATCTATATATTTGCCCACTGCTTTATGGCTTTCCAAGCATTAATGTTTTCCTATTTGGTCTAACAAAAGTCTGTAAAGGAGTATGGAAAAGTGGCATTATCTGCATTTTTATAAACAGAAAACTCAGGTTCAGAGAGAAAATGTCATTTGATTAAGATCATATTACTAGTAAGTGAGGGAAAGAGAATTCTAAACAAGGGCTCACCATCTCTCTTTCTGAAAGAAATAAAGAGAAAAAGGGAGGGAAGGAACAAAACAAAAAATAAGAAAAAAAGTAAGTGTATGGTATAAGAATCATGCCCTATATGGCTTTATAAAAAGTATACAAGAAAAATTTACTGTTTTATAGATGACTCATTCCCACTGGAACTTAGGCTCTTGAAAATCCATCTTTATGCATCTCTCTTTCTTTCCCCCTCCCTCCTCTCTCTCTCTCTCCCCCTCTCTGTTCCTCTTCTCCTGTTTCAAGCAGACACCTAGGTATCTAGAGCTTTAGAATGTATGTTCTTCCAGGATTTTTACACAAAGAAAGGAAAAAACTTTCTACAACCACTTTTATATCTTTTAGTTACCAAAAAGCCCACAAATTTCAGAAAGATAGAAAGCTAGTTACACACTGGGTAGGTGGTATCTTTAAGAAAAAGAAAGAGATTTCTTTGAAATTGAATAGAAGAGAGATGGAAAAGATGAACAAATTCCAGAGAGGTGCAGGACCAATGAAGTGACTGACAGGTGGCAAGATCTCAGAGCTGATAGTTAGATGACAAAATGAAGGGGATGGATCCTCGGTCATGGGGTTCCCCGTGCTTCTTCTCTGCTATGGCATAGAAGAAGCAGAACCAACCATTGGCCCTAGAAGGTCTACACAGGTTAAAACAAAAGGCATCTCAGGGGAAATGAAATGTGATATGAGGTGAGTAAGATGATGCAGGGCTTTGGCATAGCTCTAGATGGTGTGTGGGGTCTGGAGGATAAATGAAATTGATAGCTTTATAGAATAGGGAGACTGAGGATCAGAATTGAAATGAAGGTGATTTAAAGAAAATAAAAAACTAGCTTTTGCAGAACAGGATGCATAACTACAATTCTTCAATTTGCCTCCAATTTAATATGGTACTATCAGTGCACAGTAGTAGGTGTGTAGTATATATTTAATGATGTGATGTGAGAAAAAGAGCTAAGTCTCCCAATGCAACTATGAAGACAGCAATACTCATTTGTGTATATGAATTCAGAAATACTCTTCAAGATTTAAGACTCATTATGATAGTATCACATAAAAAAGTCACAAGATGCCCAACTTTTAAGCCATTTAAAATCTATGTATTCCTAATATTAGCAATAGACTCATTAATAACAGAATTTCTTCAGAATATTAATAATGATAAATAGTTACACAACTCTATAACATGTTTTTATTTACTGATCAATCTCCCGTGAAACAAGAAAATGAAGACTTCTTAGTTTGGGTTAGCTCTTTTGATCAAATACAACTCAATGAGATTTTATCCCCATGGTCTGCTAAATATCACAGAAAAGATTAGATTTCACGTTTCACCACAATGAGTCACACTTGGCTAGCTGACCAGTAACTGTGGGTCTGGTACGGACGTGGCACAAACCCCGCATTTCAGAGCTCAGAGGTCCACCCTCGGTGTTCAGCCGCTCAGTCGTGCCCGCTCTGCGGCTCTGCGGACTGCAGCACCCCAGGCCTCCCTCTCCTTCACCATCACCCAGAGCTGGCTCGGACGCACATCCATCCAGTCGGTGACGCCATCCAACCATCTCGTCCTCTGTTGTCCCCTTCTCCTCCTGCCCTCAATCTTTCCCAGGTCTTTTCTAATGAGTTGACTCTGCATCAGATGGCCAGAGTGTTGGAGCTTCAGCATCAGTCCTTCCGAT